CCTTTCTGTAACTATAAGATCAAAAAATAATATGAACAGATGTAATTAAAAAACATACAAAACTACAGATGTAAGTAAAACACACAAAACTACATGAGTGGAAAATACGGAGCCCCACAGCGTCCCCTTCTGTATGTATATATATATATATGTATCACTTCCCTCGGGTCTATTTTCCAGGGGTCCTTCGCAGAATCTTCTTAACCATTGTGAGTTTAAGGCTTTATGGCTTATGATATCATATGGAATATACAACGACTGATTCAATAACCCCCCTAGCGCCTCAGGTGCTCTATGTTCTAACATGAACTTTGCAACAACTTTCATAGAGTTCAGGGTGTATGCCGTTAGCAAACACGTGAAGGATCCAAAACCCAAGTCGTAAGACCCTCCGGAGGCATCACGAAGAACGCTGGACCCGAAACCTGCCAAAAGTCGCGAAGCCTAGCCACAGGTCAATGAAGGATGTACTTCCAGGCCCAACAAATTTGTACAAAAAAAAGCCTGAGAGTGGAAACTTGGCCGGAAGACTGACATGCACTGACACGCACCTGTCAGGATACTCAGAGTCGTGATAAGTTCAATTATTTAGTCGGCTATGCGTGCACATGAACTTTCTCTTCACACACGGCACATGCATCATGAGGCCTGCATGTGCACGTGTGCAAATAGACAGACAGACAGACAGACGGACGGACGGACGGACGGACGGACGGACAGACAGACACACAGCCCGGCAAGCCGGCAGGCAGGAAGCATGCATGCTTGCCTGTAATATTCCGGCCTGCGCAATGCATGTAAATATTCATGTATGGATGGATGGTTGTATGTTTGCTTGTTTGTTTGCTCTCTGACTTGTTTGTCCGTTTTTGCACGTACTTTGGCATGTTTGCAAAGCCACGGTCAGGCAAGCACATCTGTCGTCTCAGAATGGAAGCCCGCGGCAAGACCACCGGACTAACCCTACCACATCTCTATGACTGCAGTCGTGTAACCTTCAGTTCGGCTCACATGGAACCTATGACCAGCGGTCCGTCCACACATCATGAATGCAGAACCACCTGCACCTTCACATCCGTGTAAACAACACGCCCAGTTACACCCTGGTGATTACTCGCAGCGGCAAAACCCTGCTAAGCCCATGCTCTTGCACATCCTATTTCCTGCAACTTGCTTAGATCAGCGAAGGACAGTCTGATGTGGATAATGGAGACAACTTGGTGTGGGAGGTAGTGGTGAAAGTTGGTTGGAAGCAGCCCTGGGGTTGCGACAAGCAGTTCATTAGAGTTTTGGCAGTACTGCGCTGAGCCAGAAGCCCTGCTTAGAGAAGATAGTTCAGCTCCAGTGTTCCGTCTGTGGTCGTTGAACATCGGCTCTAAGCCAGCGATCTAAGCCAAGGCGCAGCCGTGTGCGGCTGAGACCCCTTGACACCAGCGTCACCTGCGGTAGGGCCACTGGCAGCCAGGCCCAAGAACAGAAAAGCTTGCGGTGGCAAGGAACGGTTCGGATCTTGGGCGCCCTAAACATTCCTAGTGCCGGACGTCGCAAGGAGACGAGAAAGCTGGGCAAGGTGCAGTGACCTAAGCATCACCAATGTTCCCCATGCTCTACCGTCCTTTCTCGGACTAGGCGATCTCACATCTTGAGAGTTTCAAGGGAATGCAGCCTGTCAGCTCGTCCCAAGATCTGAAATTTCAGGAATCAGAATCAGGTGCCCCAGCAAAACAACCGGTGGGGACATTTCGAGTATTTTGAGGTCAGAAGCTTGCTCGACGAAACGCTCCCTGCCTTGCCGTTACAAAGCTTGCAGAGCACCTACCCTAAACCCTTTTGAACGAGGTCTCTCTGAAGTGCCTCTAGCCTAAACCCCAAACCCTACACCCTAAACCCTGAACCACAAGTACTTCCGAGATCCCAGCCTGACAGAACTCGTCAAGTGTGGAAGCCGGCCCCACCAAACCAGCCTAAGAATTCGACCTCGTCCAACGACCCCCTTTAAAGCACTGCTTAACAAACCCTGAATCCCTAGCCCCACATACGCCCCACAGGGGCCCTGACCCTGAACCCTAGAAACATCCCCTGAACCGCCCTAAACCCTGCAGCCCAGAACCTCAAGGAAAACTCTGAAACTCTAGCCCTGCCTCGGTGTCCCGGCCCAAGATCTTCTGCTCCTGGCGAACCCCCGAGCCCGATCTAGACAGTGAACTCAAGACGAGTTCGTGAGACCATGATAAGGATTTGGAGTTTAGGGCTGAGAATTCACGACACCCTACTCCATAGTTGCGGGAACAACGTAGCTTGGTGGTACTTGGGCTCTCTGGGAGGACTAAAGAAGTTGAACCAGGCGATGCCGCTCATAGACTTTCATGGTTCGCCCTGCAGATTCGCAACAGCAGGATCCTTGCTAGAAGGAGCCTTAGATGAAGGCCCCCTTCTTTCAAGAAACTCCCATGTCAGGGGGGATGGTCTTTTTGGGTTTAGGGTTTAGGGTTTAGGGGTGCATTATGGTCAGAGGACGGAGGTTGAAAGGGCCAGGCGGCAGGTCTTTCACCTCACGGGAGAGTAAAGCCTAAACCTCGAAGGCGCCACAACCAGAACCCTGAAACCGGATGCTGGGGCCTTAGTGTCGTGCCCTGGTGATGAAAAAATGAATGGTTTTGGTGCATTTTACACTATAGCAAGGATAAGTAACTATTCATGCTTCTACCAGCAGAGTAATTCATGCGGTAAGCAAAGCTTTGCTCAGGGGTTCCGAGTCGAAGATCCACTTGTTAAGCAGTCAGGTTTAGGGCTCAAGGGGTTCGGCGCACACAGGCTCAAGGGGTTTAGGGTTTAGGAGTTCAGGCCTTAGGGCTCAAGGGGCTAAGGCCCAAACCCCAAACCCTAAACCCCTAAAGCCCGATCTAAGCCCCACCACTCCTTCTCGGGGCCCTGCATGGACAGAGAGGCCAGGTTACCGCAAGACCCAATGCACTTCCTTGGGAGGCTCTGTTGTAGTCGGACCATTGCCACAGAACCCGCGCTGTAGTAGCATAGATCCCTCCACCCCACTATACAACTCCCATAACTACCAATA